GCGCTTAGCACAGTTCACTGCGAAACATCGAGTACATATACCGATACGGGTAGAACGCGACCAGAATCCGCTGACGTCACACCGCCCCCATCGCTGGTAGTTGCTAAGGCGGTCGTGTTAAAATGGACATCAAGTGAGCCAAGGTCGTCGCAAGGACTCCAACGCTAACATTTGTCATTATCGGCATTCCTACGTTAGGTGACCAGTTCTTGTGTTCCCGATTCGAACCAATGGCATGTCATTGTAGCACTCACCAGCTGCAATCACTCCATCATCTGTAATCTACCAATTTCAGATAAAATCACGGAACACTTTCAAATTCCCAAGCATTGTTACCACAAATCCGAACAAAAATTAAACTTATCAGAAAATAACACTGTTCACGCTTAACAATTCATTAGCAAGAAATTTCATAATTAGTACCATCATGAAGTTTGCGATAACTAATTACAGGGACTCCATAATGACATACGATAATTGTAAAAAACGCACCAGATAACAGAATTTAATTTATATAATAGAAATGACGTTAGATCACGTGAGAAAACTGAGACGTGTGTGACTAATTCTTAAGGTTGTTTTTTTAAAAAGTCATGCGCAAAATGCAATGGCAAAAAATTGAGGGGGGCCTCAAATTTATTAACAACCTTGATAACACAGCTAGGTTACTGACACCTAGATAAAATCAAGCAAAAAGATTTTGCAGCAACCATATTGTCACCACGTGGATAGCAGAAATTGAGTGCATCGTGAATTCTCCACAAGGATGTCTATTAACAATAAAAAACCGTTGTTAATGTTCCAATGGCGCCACCAAGTGCAATGCATGTTAATTACTGTCCTGGCGTGTCATTCGTGTGATTATACGAATTGAAATACGCTTCCACGAAAACCTTCAATGACTGAAATATTTAAATAAAGGACAGCTTTTATTTGCACCTAAGACTTAAASGAAATTTTTAAAATCAGTTTCCAAAAAGTGCAAACTACATTGTTTAATATTTTTCAACATTATTTACACACGATGACGCATGATTCATATTTGTCATCATAATAATTATACGGGATTTGAACACGTACGTAATGTGATGACGTCACAATCAGATGTATTTATTATGATGATCTTTTTCTGTTTTACAATTATAATATGTACAGTGTTATCTTATCGCAGTATAAATCAATCGACGATAATTATAAACCAGGTCAGGAAAACCGACAATTTTCCGCTTTAAAAATAAATATCACATTTTTTTACCAAAATACAATTAAACCGGTACATACACAACAATCGTCAAGTAGGTACTAGTTTTTAAAACTATACCTATGTAGATCAACTGGTATAATAAACCGTTTCAAATTTCAGTATACAACCTATTAATAGTGATACGTTTTTATATAATAGTGTTTAAGTCGGCGTAATTTATCTGACAACGTTGGACACACGTGTGTTCCTACATTGATGTTCATAATAATTACAAAATAGCCCTTATAATGGCCTTAAATTAGAACAGACAGACGCTTGAAATGTTAGACAACACAATAGAATTCTTTTGATTGTATAGAACCCGAAATAGCTGACCATGTAATTTTAGTTTCCAGTGTGTGTTATGACTGCAATGTTTAATTTACGAAATATTGTGGGAAAGTGTTGCATCTGCTTGGAAAAATCTGAAAAATTTAACACTTTTATACCTGCATAATTTTTTCCGTGTTTGAAGAATACAGGGATGTCCCAAAAATTTGGAACGATACGACAAAATAACAAAATATGATATTTTTTTTCCTGGAAATTACTTTTTGTTTAAAAAGTCAGGCAGTAAATCACGTGGTTATCTAATATAAGCCATTTTTCAAATTTACGTGTGTCTACATAACACGAAATTCATAATATGAATAATTTCTATTAACAAATCAAAGATTATGTTCGAATAAAATTAGTAGTCAAACACTTTCATACTTAAAAAAATGTTTTAATCAATATTTAACCCAATACAGTTACTATTCAAACCATACACTCGGAATACTCTTGGTCACGTTTTTACTTACATACATATACACATTCATAAGACTGACATCATGAGGTTGGAATACAATTTATTTGGTGACAAATCAACTATTTCGGAACATTATTATTTTATTCTGAACATCTTCACTGATGAAAAAGATTTTTGTATGATAAGCATGAGTGAAAACGATATGTAAAATAGTAGTTGTTTGGAATATGCATCAGTTGTGTGGTCACCGATTTACAAAACATGAAAAGTTAGAAAATGTACCAAGAAAATTTTTGAAGTTTTTAGCACATAAAGAAGATGACACTTATCATCCTATTAGGTTTTCGCAAGAAGCATTGTTAAATAGGTTTCAACTTTCTAGTCTTGAAACTAAGATAAAAATTTGCTGCAATAATGTTTTCATACATATAAACTTATACACACCAAAATTGATTTTCCTCAACTGCTTAACAAACGAAATTTGTACTACTGAATTCTAGAAACATTTACTTTAATTACTTTGACACTAGTCAAACTAACTTTAAAAAGAATCACCACTTTTTAATATGTGCTCTGAAATAAATCAAGTTAACATAGATATATGTTAAGTCTTAACAGTCTTGTGTAACATTAGGGTGATATTAACAGCTTAACGAATGTAACGACGAAAAAAAATAATTCTGACATTTGAAAAATCGTATGAGCTACGGTTTATTAAGATAACTTGATAAATTGACGTTTTCAAGAGAGAAACAAACAAAAGATTTTTTCCTTTTAATGTCACAATATTGGCACCGGCAAAGAATCAAAAATCAAAAGGTGATATGGTTCTTAAACTGATGCGAATTAMAGGAAGGAATTGATCTTGTCAAGTTATTATTTATAAACAAAACCTTAATTTTTATTCCCAAAAATACTCTAGATTAAAATTTTGCATTTCTCTAAAATAAATAAACTTGGTACAAAACATTGGTACTATGGATCTAGCTGTCAAGTCAATATAAATATGGCCTCGCTCTCCTTTTTGCACTCCTAGGATTCATAACTTGAGATACATTGTTTTAATTGCGTAAACAGGAAACATCTGATTAATTATTATTTTTTTTCCATAACATCACAACAATCTGCTACATCAAAGGAAACAAAAATTTTGGAAAACTCACTTTTTTATAAAATAACACTCGGATCAYAAGTTTTTTATAATTTATCGGTATTGTTTAAACAAAATTCGAATCATGTGTGACATCTGATGAAACACCCTTATTGAACACTCGGTATTTGAGTAACATTGATTGGCATATACTTTTTAGAAACGTAATAAGCTAGGTAAAAATGACAATGGAGTACTAAACAAAAAACGCTAAATGTAATAAAAGTAGAACTGTTGAACACCTGGATGATATCGTCTTATTATCATTCCCAATACAATTAATTGCAATCACTTTCTAATTTGTGAATCATGGTAATTTCTAGTTGGAACTAACAATGCAAAATATGATTTCTTCCAAAATTAATTAACATCTGCATGTAATTAATTGAAGGGAAAATAAATGTTTGTTTTAACAAAATCATATTTAAACTAAAAATATACATTAACAAAAAATAAAATAGAAGCAAACGAATAATTGGTTTCTCCCTTCTTGGATGGAATCTTGAGAAAAGAATTCATAGCATAAATTTTTATTTGATTCCATCGATGATTGTTTTAAGGAAATAAATCATTTAAACTTTTTTGTGTACATCTGGTATGTTTAAACAAACTGAATTATCCCTTTTTGTCGAATTTAGAACAATGCTTGGTCAAAAATTTCCCAATTTCACGTGATGTTTGGGCTTTATTGATAAAAGCATCCGGTAAGTAAAGCTATCGGTGCATTGACTTAGATTTGAAAGAAGGTTATCAGACTTATCAGTGAATTCTTCTTTTCTAAACGTAACCACCTGATGTCGATTTCAGTTCGACAAAATGTATGAAAAGGTGTTAAGAAACGTACCTCGATCGTGTGTGAAGTGGGTCAAAATTATTCGGTGTGGAAAATAGGTCGAGTCACTCACCACGAATCCGTCTGGTCCCATCATGGGTGCCCTTTCTCCCCTCGTGTTATGAATGGGCTAATCGGGCGGCCATAATGTTGAAGATGAATAGTAAGCGTGACGTAGCACCCCCTGTCTAGACAGACAGGGTTGGGGAAGGCCACGGCGCAAGCACGGACATGCAACGCGACCGGAAGTAAAGACGCGAAAATGGTGGCAGAACGCACTCTCCACAATTCGCCCGAATTTATCGATTTTGGGCGCCGCGTGCACGTGCACCCGATAACCTTCTGGATCATAGGCGGCATCGACGGTACAAAAATGAACATCAACGTCCTCGGCTAACCAGATTCGCAGCCGATGGCATTGACGACACCGGCCCGATTCACACAGCCACAATAGCCCCAGAGTACGTTCGCGGYAAGAAATTCAAATCGTCCATTACTCACGCYACAGCACAAATTTCGGCTAATCCCAAGATCGGAGATTAGGATAAGAAAAATTCTGCAGCTGCATACAGCCGACCATGCATTTACMATTGACAAAGTTTGCAGTGTCGAGAACACCACCCAACTGGTCGGATGGGTTTTTACCTGCTCAGGTACCTATCCACAAAATTTTAACAATGGGACCCCGTAAATGACTAATGATTTTCAACCGAAAATTCACATCACTGAATCGCGAAAACACTTATTTAGAAAACACTTTAATAAATTGCAGTTGTAACACACCGCGCACCGCTAAAACTGCAACACCTTCTCGCTGCCGCGTCCGCGGACAAAATGAAACACACCAAGGACTGACTGAGAGAAGCACATGTCTGGTGTAGAGTCGATCGCGAAATGCACCACTCGCTCGTYTATTTCTATCCTTGTTGCTCGCGGAGAAACCGATGAGACGAACGCCGGCAGTGCTTCGCCRAATTTTACCACGCCCGTAGGTAGCAGACCTTAGCAACGGTTGCCATCTCAACCAAATGTCTTTTCGCAGAATGGGTGGGGGAAGTGTCTAGAAATTATCAGACATACGTATGTACCCTTTCCTCAATCGTAAATAATTCGCAATAATAATCAAATTACAAAAACATTCGAATCGGCGGCGAGACGGCGAATCAATTTTAATTCGCTTCGGAGAAACTCTACAAAAAGAAATTAAGGATAATTGTCGATAACTAAATGCTTGACTTTGAAGAAAGCATCAATCAAAGTGAGTATACCTCTATCATAAAATTTATTATCGCAGGAACGTGACCATTTCCTTTACTTCGATTATTTACCGTTACAGGGTGAATAAAATTCATTCTTATCTCATTCACATTCTTGAAAAACTTTCCTATCTGAGTATCGAGTATTAAATGATAAAGCGGTTCCGAGAAGTTTGTTCATTTTCTAATTCTCCTAAATGCATGTACGGATTCCAGAACTTACCGAGAAGTGACCAAGCTTCCTCTGATTATTATATTCTTTGTAATACTGCATGAAGACATTTTTCCAAGATCTGTATGTTGGGGTATTCCGCCACTAACCATAGGACAATCGTTATATTGTTAATTTTAAATAAACTAAAAAAAGGCAAATTAATTCAAAAGAAAAGATTTTGAATTTAGTACTAAACATCCAAGAAAATTAAGACAAAGAGTGTAATTTTTATAGAGTTGTACATACACTAATAGCAATGAAKACACTCCCTCCTTCGTCGTTCGTGCTTAGAAACTATGTTTACGYAGGAAAATTATCATTTTTTACTATTAGCTACCCTTTTTATGTTCAAAGACAAACATTTACAATTTAGCAAAGAATAGTTTGCGGAAACAACGAAAGAAAAAGAGAGCAAAACACGCCAACGAATTTATTATTTTAATATTTGCGATCCATGTCCAAATTTTTGGAAAAAAAAATCAAGAAAAATAAATCAAACCTATTAGAAACGATTTCCTTGGAAGTGATTCAACAGAAAAAAAATGATGAAAACAAATGATGACAGTGTCAAAACTTTGAAGTATAAGTAAGTAAGTGACTTTTCTCTTTCATTCTCGTGGATACAATTTTGTTAGTTATTATAACAATGTAAAATTATCTTAACAAAGAAATAATTCAAGTGACCCCCAAATGTTGTACCAATATTTTCAAGTTAAATAACATTCTTAATAATGCAATTTTGTGAGTTTTTTTCGGTTACAGTATTTCTATACTTTTAAATTTTTTCTAGCTGTTTGGATTTCTGTTCTATTGCGAACAGAGTTCTCCCCCTTTTTATTTTTTCATACAAAACACCACAGGATGTAGAAAAGTCATTTCGTGGAAACAAAAGCAGGAAAAAGTTATTTAATTTTAATTAATCTTGTGGTATTTARTATTGATTATAGTCGTCTAACGTAATAACAGCATAAACTGACATTATACTTAWRGGTATTTGAAAACAGCTGTTCCCKTTTTGCTGGACCAAATAACTCAGTAATAAAGTACATACTTTCTGAAAAAACATTAATACTAATTTTGGAAAATAACTTTCTTTTACAGCTCTTTCATTATTAGAAGAACAGATTACAGGTGCATTGTCCTAATGTGGTAAAACGTTTCTTTTTAACGATTATGACCGGTTTTGCTGTTGCTTACTTACATACGAATGATACTAATAGTAACATGAGCAGCAGGTTTTTGCGAATGATAGAAATTTTTGAATGTCCTTAGCGAAAAGCGCTTTGAAAGATCCACGATCACGATGATAACTGCTTGATTCGGTAGCTATTGGACAGAATTCACCTTCAAACACTGTTAATTACTTGTAATTAGGTAAACATGATTTTTTGATCAATTCACACGAGTATTACCTTAAAACACTTTGTTCTGTGATTTCGGTGAGATTGATAAAAGGTTGATCTTTAATGTTATAGTATGCAAATAGTAAAATAGTCATGGCTTCTCAGTTGAAGCAGCAACCCTCGTATTTCAAAAAAAATCATAAGACTGTCTTTACGTCCTATTCCTACTGGATGCTTCGTCGATAAGTCGAATAAGTCARTACACAGTAGCAATCCTTTAGGAACAGAATAAAAAAGTTGAAGCATTAATAAATTAATTATTAGTAATTTCCTTTTAGAGACTTGCAAAATTGTAGTTTAGTGAACTTTAGCTCATTTTCTTTAATTATCCGAATGATTCATCTCAAATGTTTTAAATATTTGTTTTGTGATTGTGATGGATTTAATCATATCTTTTTTCATTACATACTGTGATTTTTAATGAATCATCTCCCATTTTAAAAATTTGCATTTACTTATTTGAACTTTGCAATTAACGTGTTTGTATGGTTGTTTTGGGTCAAAAATAGTTTAAAACCTGTCTTCACAAAATTTATCGCTTTTAGTATCACACATGTGGAGTTGTTAAAATGTAGTCATGCTGATAAGAGAGGAGTGAATCCCATGCTTATTTTACAATTTGCTTCCAAAGTCCAAGGTTGTGAGAACTTGGCAAAAAAATTAATCAGAACTTACCTGATCAAAATTTATGTTCTGGAATAGTTTTGTAGCTAGTATAAGTTTAGTGAGTATTTTAATGCTGCTTAAAATATGATAAGAGTCCATATTTACAAAATGTTTTTAGTAATTTGCTAAATTGTATAAATAAATTTGAATGATCCGAAAGAGAAATATTACGTTGGAAATTGTGCACAAACCGGAAGGAACCGACCCATTTGTTACTAGTGGGTGAGTTTGTTCTTGATGTACGTACATTGAAAGTATGTCAAATATACGTCTGGGTAGGCGCCATGACGTCAACGACGCCTACACTATCGTTCTCAACAAGGGTGGTGCATAGGCGACTCGTCGCAGTTCACAATTTTACGATAAACTGAACAACATAACGGAAACAACCAAAGTTTTATTAATGAAAAAATCTCGAGTCRGAGTAATTAGCCGCGATTTATTTGACAAGTAATCTACTTTCTCTGTATTGTTAAATAGACTTTTCARGAATGTATAAATTGTAGGAATTTACGATTTATCATAATTGCTATGTGTACCATGACACATTTCTGATTTTCTGGTGAAATATAAAAATTCGTGTGAATGGACCCGTAATGAAATAAAAATATCTGCTCGAACAATCGGTGCTAAAATAGAGTTGTTTCTTGGCAGATTTTTCCATCGCTCGCACCTACCTCTAGTCGCATTTTCTTATCTCTCCACGACCTCGAAATTTGCATGATGCAAAGTCGTTGACAAAAATCTCCATGATTCATTCATAGCCGCATAAAATCGGGGTCGAATAGATTTTAGGGTTTTTATTGATGGCCGGCAATTGTTGGTAGAAGTGTTTCTCGTTGCGCAGCAGGCGGGAAACATTTCGCAACATTTATAGGGGGAGATTACTGTAATGACTTGTTGCAGTGGATGGAAACAAAGAAACACATTAGAAATTTCAACTGATAAATCACAAATCCAGTTGGTATTTTTATTGCAGCTGGTCGACTTATGGAGTGGGCGTAATATCTTTAGGAATGCGCCATAGATATGCAAGATGCAATAAATTGCAATAAAAACTTGCCGCAATGAATCATTCAGCGTCTTTGTTTGTCCAAACTGCATTTTTGTCTAGACGATGGAGGCGTTTTTTAACATTTACTGTCAAGTAAATAACGAAAACCGTAAAAATAAAACACGACAACGACGATTTACCACCAAAATACTTTTTCTTTATGGCCAGCAGGGAAAGAAAGGTTGGCACCCCTGGATTATTCGCGACGACGGCCTTTCACAGACACATCAACTTATTTACACGTGATTTTTATTTTTCTCAGATACGCCCACCGAAAGACGATGTCAGCAGACAACGATGTCGGAGGTTTGAGTTACGAAAAATTTCTCGAATGCATTAAACAAATCGTCCAAGTATCAAATGACATACACGACGGGTGGCAACTTCACTCAAAAGAGGTAAGTCCCAATTTTGGAAAATAATACAAGTTACACTAGATAAGTCTTAATAAGTTTAAAGTATGACTGAAAATACATTTTTGGCAAAATTTAAGAAATATATGCCCATTTCTGCGCATGACAAATTATATTACGGTACCCTATGGGTATCCAAAATTAAAATTCTTTCTTGGACACTTTGTAAATAAAGTATAAATAAAATATCAGTTCTGCAAATCCTTCCTTGGGCTTTCATCTCATGTTACTTCAGCGAAAATTCTGTTATAGCTTGTCAATTTTGATAGCATAATTATGGTATTTACCTCAAGATTGAGTTCTCGCATGTACAAATTTTACTCATGTAATGACATTTATAGCACCTTGTACAACAACGCATTTCTTAGCTAACAGTTTAATGATAGTCCTATTTGAATATAAATATTTATAAAAAAAATTCTAGGTGTAAAAATTTTAATGTCTTTCGTAGGAACGTGATGGCGTGTTGCTAATAGTAAAAACAAATTTGCGAATCGGCTTGAAACCCTCYGGGAAGGCTGGTATGCAAATTTGCTAAAATGACATTCATCCACTTAGATATTTTCTAAAAGTAATTATTTTTTACTTGTTTTGTTGTATAATCATGTATTTACTATCGCGCGGTAGGTTTAATTCCTGTAAGGATAATCATAATCGACACGATAAAACAAAGATCAAATCAAAACTTTCAAATTAATGAGATTTAATTGCACACATAAATACCGCATGAAAAACGTAATGTCTGTAAATTACATACATTCTTCCTCTAAGTAGTCTTTATTGCTAGTTTTTCTTTAATCCTCACTTCTCGAGTTAAGATGTATGAAGAGTGCATTTTCCGAGGTAATAAAACAGATCTTATTTTAGTTTTTGCAACGGCAATCTTGTAACTACGTATCTGCTTCCATCCAATCATCGAAACAGTTTCTGAATCACAATTTTCTAGTGCTTTCCACCCATTAATGATTTCTTTAACATGCACGCCAGCTTCACCCAATTTCCCAATGAGAAATTTTTGTGTTAGGGTTTAGATAACGGTGGGTATATTACGAAAAAAACCAGTCAAGAATTGGAAAAATCGTCAGAGGGAGCGAAATTGATCGCACTTTTTGAATATCACGTAGCTTACAACATTAATTATGGTGTCCCAATTTTATGTTTCTTAGCATGGAAACAAGGTAAGCACTTAATCAAGAACTCGAAAAGGATAATAAAAAGAATTGAATTGCAGATGGTAGTTTGCTTCAAATAGAAGAATATTGCGAATACAACAAGAAGTTTTCACATTACGACATTCTAAGCACATTAACTCAATTGGTAGAGTAATTACATTGCACGATATAAAATATTTGTCTTGTAAATTGATTCCAGGATCATCCAGTTTTATGCAGACCATTCCTTACATTACATCCTTGCAGAACTAGAGATATTTTAGATACGTTTCAGAATAAGAGGTATAATTATTATTGTAATAATACAATTTAATTATACTGAATGATGGATCGTTTCAGCAAAAACCCGGTAATATCATGGTTGAGTGTGATCAGCCCGTTTCTTGATCTCAAGTTAGATGAAGAATATATTAAACTTTGTTGAACAATTATTACGATAAAAATGTTGGAATTGCATTATTTCTATTTTTTAAACCGTCTATTATTCAGTTGATGGGCACCGGTATTGTATGAAAATTACAATGCATGTACTTAGGCACGTGTTTATTGAGGAATAAAATAAAAGGTCAAAATGTTATTTATTACAACTATATGGCTGGAGCTTTCAAAACAATTAATTGTTGCATAAACTGTTCACGAGTAAAAAAACTGTTTCTTTCGTTCTGAAAAATGTAAGCATGTCTTTCTGGGTGATAAGGAAGGAAAGTGGGCAGCTTACGAAGAATTCAGAATTGATGTAAAAGTTATTCCGAGAATGCTGATGGTTCATTGGATGATGCACCGTTACACTCGAAATTCCTAAATAAGTGTGCAAAAATTTGAAACAAAATTTTCGAGGTGTCAGAAATTGGGTCAAGTTTAAATACATCAGGTAACAAGTCTTTTACATAATGGTGACAAAAGCAGTTAGCATATTTATGACGAATTCTTTAAACTGACATTTTCAATGGTAAATATTAGGTGCCATTCGCAACACGGGAGGTCTTTGACAGTTTGCTAGGCTTTTGGAAAGTTGTTTAAATAATCCTTTCGTTATGTTCATCCCCGAAAACCGTTTCTTTGGTGATGAATATTAATACGAGGCAACTTTTGACTTTTTTCGTTATTCTGGTTTTAGACAAATGGAGCTTCCGGTTTTGTCTATTATTAAAAACTAGTTTTAACCTCGGTTTTAACATATTTCTAGTTGTGACATTTGACGAATGCTTTTAAATTAAATTCAGTAATGTTAGACGAACATGTGGGAACTGGTTGAGTTCACTCTACGTGCCAACAATAGTACAACGAAGGATCAGTTGCTGTATAATCATAATGACTAGTACAAAAGACCACCGTTTTGTAGGCATCCAAAGACAGTTTATACTGTTATAATACAAGCTGAATTGCTAGAACAACCCTAAAGCAAGAATTTAATTATTTTCGGAATTTCCAATTCGCCGAAAGTGTTACCAAATCTCGGCCTAATTTCAGACTTACAAAAACTTACCCAAAATGTAAATGTCGCAATAAATTGATTAGAAAGTTGTTAGTGWTTCATTACATTAGCAACAATGGGGTTTCCTGAYTTTCCTGTATAAATAAAAATAAATTACCCGGGCAGATTGAAAAGACGTTAACATTTTCAAATATAAAAACTAACGATTTAATTATGATCGTAAACCTTGGTTTAACCCTAATCCCAACTGCTAATTAATTAATAAATAGGAGATAACCATCAAAACTTCGGTAAATACGCTGCGGAGAACAACTCTGATAGAGCAATTAACTCTTGATTGAGCATCGAAACGTTAGAAAAACTTCCACAACTGGGTAATATTATTTATTATTGCAATTCGAAGAAACTTAATGCTTTTGCAAGTGCTCTGATATGGTTTTTTAATACTCAAGGATTTCTGAAAAAAAAAACAACTCTCTTCATACAGAATATCTAATAGGCATACTTATTTCCGCTTGGTGACTTTACCTAATTTACGACAGACTTCCGGCTTTCAAATTGAAATAATTAATTTGTGGTTATTCAAGTGTAAATATTTGTTGAATTAATTTTTCGGTTAGGGTTTACGTGTTTTATGCAGTTTTTAAGGAAAAATGGGCACGAGAATCGGTTTAAATTATTAAATAACAGGAATGGACCCAAGCAACAACTTGCAAATCGGTTAAAATTTTCAAGACGAGACGTGTTTTTGTAAGGCTCAGGTAGTAAACCATCTGTCCCTTTTGTTGGCGTAGTTGTCGTTTTTATTTTCAATTTTTTTCCAATTTCGAAAGATTGCACGACGGATAAATAGGAAAAACCACAAAGGTGCATCATCTTGACTCATGTTGAAACGTATTGTTTAATTAATTATCTAGATCTTTTTTTTTTGTTTACTTCACGTCTATCATTACATAGTAGGCAATATTTGAGAGAAAAAAACTTCATTATAAATAATTACAATGTATATTTCCTGTCGAAACGACAGACCTGTCATTATTTATAAATTTCAAAATATTGGATGACTTTTTAAACACCGAAAATAGGGTGGGAAACGACTTTGTAATGATTAAATGGTTGTAGCCTTAAACCATTGTCATAAAATCCGGGTTAAACTTTTTTAACAGATATGACAATAAAGTGTTTTAGACTAATTTGTTTATTAAAATCATTGGCTGTATCGACAGCAAGGAATTAAATAGTCCAAGTCCGGGTTCATAACATTTTGCATTACAAGACATTCACTTCTATAACTGTGTTCTTTAGTGCTGCGCCATGCTAAAATATTGGATCGACACTTCCGTTTATTTCGCAATCGAACCAAAATTTGGTAAAAAAATGCGAAAATATTAGCACCTTGTTAAAACCAATATTTGAAATGTTTATACAACAAACAAAAATTAAAATTCTTCTTAAAACTCTACTTTTGTGGATTTTTGTTTGTAGGTAAATGAAATTTAATAAAAGTTATTCAAATTAGACTTTGACTTGCGTCAATGTATTTGTCTGGTTGTGCTAGTTATCAATTCATGAAATAAGTTTATTGCAATAAATATCATATAAATCATAAGTAAATTATTATAAAAAATGCCATATGTCGACATAATTAATTTATTTACGTATTTAGCATTTCAGGCCCCTATGAGTCAATATTGACAATCGACTTAAAACTAAAAATGTTTTAATAGTTTTACTTAGAATTGCAGTTGGTAGAGTGTGTGGATGCGTTACCAACCTTGCCGTGTGAAAAGTCCATTCCGGGTGGTATCGGTTGGTGATGTTGGTATCGGTGTTAGATATTTGCAGCCTTGACGACAGTCAAGGTCAACGTTTAGAACGCAGACGGGATTTACCATGAAAAGTCGACGAACTTTAAGTCCGTCATGCACTGTATCGCACTATTAATAAACTTGTGCATGTTAATCACATTCTTCATTTTGATGTACCAGAAAAAATGCCTCATTATGAAACAAAAATGTGAAAATTAATTTGGCTCGGCAATTAACTACTGAGTCTAATGAAGTTGCCACATCAGTCTGCTCTTTTGGCGTTTACTTAAATTATTGCTTAAGTGCAGGAAGATCAATTAACACATGTGCGCAAGTTTTGACTTAAGTAGGACATCGATGGCGCTTATGTATAATTATAAAAAGGATATGTCGTGTTGTCTTTTTCTTTCGTGGTTTTTCTATACTTTTCTGCTTGTACAAGTCGATGAAACCTGCAATTATGGAATAAAGGAAGCGGGAAATAATTTTGAAGCACAGTTTTTGATTTATGAGGTAATAATTTTATACGCATATTAAACGTGATACATTAAATTCATTTTTGTTTTCGGTTGGCGTTAATTAATGTAAACGGGAGCAAACTGAATAATTTGTCATCTCGAGCTAGTGCTATAATTTGCATTTATTAATGATAGATCAGCTGGCTTCGTCCTACCGAAGGACGATACTATCACCTGTAATATTGCAAATAGTTCAAAAATAGTTTGCTTGAATAGTGGCGACAGACAGTCTAAATCTAAACGGTTTAATTTTAAGAAAAAATGAAAATATGCAAACAATTCTAAATATTTTTAATATTTAATATGTTGACGGCTGCCAAAAATTAAAATAGATAATTTATGTTACAAGCTAGACGCTACAAATCTTTCAAAACACGATTAAACTATTTTTTTTTTAAATACTACTACGTAAAAAGAAAAGAAAAATCGCGAATTATTTATTTTAGGTATGTAAGCAGAAGCACACCACTCTGTTATTGTCTCTCTTTGTTTGACCAATGAAGTTTCATTTTTGCATCCTTGTCTGTGGGCTGTTCAGAAGATTGTTACACCTTTATAGAAAATGAAAAGACGAATTGAGTTTTTACACAAAAACTGACCTTTCAAAGTTTAGTTGGAAAAAAGTTTCGCCCACGTTTTATCGTTGTCATGCAGACGTTCATTGTTATGCATTGTTACACTTGTATGAGTAAAAGACTTTAGAAGCTTTGAGATCAATGTTTCACAATTTTTTGTGATTTATATTTACATCTGAATTATTTCTTTCTTTTTAAGTAGGTTTCTGAAATACATTGACGCATTTGTTTGGCAGATTTATTCTTAAAATCACCTGAAAATACGTTGAATATAAAAACGATGAAATCAGCCAGAATTAACGTATTTTCAATTTTAATTAAATAAAATKTATTGACCCCTATACTTGGAAAAGTATACGTGACAGGTTTCCGCCATTTTGATTCCGAAAACACACCAATATCAGTGTGATCTCGTTCCAGTTTGAAAAACGCCACTGAAAGATAATTTAAAAGAATGACACACTAAAACTTTAGATATTTTGACTACTCTGTTTCATGAGTCTAATTAATTAGGTTGTAAACATGGGCGTATTGGGCGGTACACCTGATAAAAATAATATGTATAATAGAATAAACTCAGACACTATTAATAACTACTGTCATGTGCTCGAGCGCAGTTTTTTCAATGCATGAATTGCGAAATTCATTTTTCAGGGAAAAGACACTTTCAATTTTTTTATGTAAATGAATTTTTTACCGTAAAAATCAAGGCGAAATAAATTTGGTTAATCCGCATTGCGAATTTTATTTCTCGAATTATGATTGTTTTAATGTTAAAAAATGAGTCATGATTTCGCGAAATTAGCCATAGGTCAAACAGAATTTTATCAGAATAAAAATTTATAGACTGTCGTTGTAACAATAAGAAAACATATCTAATCTAATCGCGATGTCACCAAAAACGGAAACGGAGGGACAAATGGTCATCCTGTCTGTTTGTACAAAATAGATAAAAACAGTCAACATAGCCTTGATCTAGGCGATTTATTGGCGACCCTCTCCCTAAAAATGCAAATGCACAACGGCGCAAAATATCGAAAACAAGTGACTGTCAAAGTCCTCCCCGGTTAATTAAAAGTTGACTTTGGTTGGCCGGTATAGAAACACATACACACCTCTCCTCACATCTCTTAAATTAGTTTTCTTTGTCATAGAAGCACGCAAGCTAATGGCGATAGCGTTTTATCCTTGGCCAGACCGTCGGCCTCGTCTTCTTAAAAAGTGTAAATATATAAATAG